TTTACAGAAAAAATACTGAAATGTTAAAACCCACATTTTGTATGTGTGGTATAAACATTAAGTTGTATGCCTCTAGTCTGGGAAAGAAAAGGGAAATATAAATAAAATATCCAAATTTGGTGTGTTTCAGTTTTATATAAATCATTGAAATTAAAGACATGCTATTCTCTTGCCGTAAGAAATAAAAAGTCATTTTACTTAGCGCATCTATGACAGTGCCTGAGTGCTTCTCCTGAAACGTTAATGTGTTGAAAACAACTCTGTCTCTGAGGATTAGTCTGTACATTAAGACACAGAGAAGATTAAATGTGTGGATTTAGTTTTTTTTGGTTTTTGTTTTTTGCATAACCAACAAAAGAAATTCTTACATTAGACTTCAGGTTTCCCAGCTGTCCACTTGGGTGGTTCTCGCCAGCCAAGCCCGGGAGCCAGGACCGCTACTGGCTCAGGGACAGCACTGATTAACTGGGAGGGCACAGTGAACACCGAACTGAAACTTGGATGGTTGATTCAAACTTTCTTCCCATGCAGGCAAGTTTTCTTTATTGCCCTAGCTGTTTTAATGAGTGATTCCATTTTTGATGAGAAAATAAGAATAACTTGATTTCCGTTTCTTATTGGTTTGCTCCATGGATCTTTTATGCCTTAGGGCACCCTGTGGAGCTTCTTTGTTTTAGCAACTAATGTTTTTCAGGGAAGTGACTCAATAGGTGAAGGAAGATAAAAAAGTTGTTCTCGTGTTACTGGAACTAATAATTTTCCTTTGAAGCTTCTCTGTAGATAAACAGCAACAAAATGTGGTGGATGCTGTATTTGTGCAATTCTCAGTACAGCCCCTTAGAATCAGTACTCTTACCATCCCCATTTTACAGATAAGATTTACTTAAGTCCCAGAGAGGTTAGCAGCTCTTTCAAGATCACACGGCTGGCAAAGAGTGGATGCCTCCGAGATAAGGACTTTTCACCTATCATCACCTCTGAAGTGTGTTCCCAGGTGTGATCTTAACTTTTCCAATGGCTATTTTTTTAAAAAATGTCCTAAATATGGCTTTCCCTTCATTCTTTTTCCTTTACTGCTAGGGAGTGACCAATCACATCATCCTCGAGTTTTTTCCTAATCAATCAAAAGTATTTTTTTTTCATTTCAATAATTGCTTTATTTAGTCTAAATATATCCAAAATATAATTTAAAAGTAATGAGTAGCTTTTCAATAAGTGTCTTGCTCTCCTGGCTGTCTCGCTGTGGCCTGGTGGTGTGTGAGGGAGCTGGAAGGATCCAGGCATGAGAGGAGCTTCCTGAGTTCAGGTTTCTGTTAACATGGGTTTGCAGACGCTTTGGTAGCAGTGAGGAAAGCTCTGGGGGGTTAGTCAGTGCTCCGTATTATCCACTGGTTACCCCATAGCCTGAATGCTGGGAGTAGAGAGGGGCAGAGGACCCTCTAGTGCGTGGAGATCCTGTTTTGAGCGGGAGAATCTAACCACTTCTCAAGGATCAGGGAACTTGGAATCAAGGCAGGGTCTGCATTCTCGTTGCCCCACTTTGGAGCTGTGTGCTAAACGCTTTATAGCATTTCCAATATTCAGTGTCCTTTCAACACGCTCGAGGAATCCTGGGTAGAATCAGCAGCATCCTTAGCCAGGCTGGTGGGGAGGCTGAGCTTTATCAGGCATGATACCAGGTGTCGGTCCCTAAAGGCCTAAGTCACGAGTTGGCTTCTTCATAGCAAACCTGATTGAAAGCCGCTTACTACTGTCGTAGTCCACGTGGCTTATGTTTTCTGGCTGCCTGGCACCATTTTTCTTTTTCTGAAGATTTTTATTTGATACAATTTCAACTTAGGTGTTGCAAGAGAGTGAAAAGAACTCTCCTATCCCCTCTGTCCAGATGCACCAGTTGTTTACATTTTGGCCCATTTGCTTTCTCAGATGCTTGGTCTCTGTCTCTCTCCCTCACACACACACACACACTTTTTCTTCTGAATCATCAGTCCTCTTAAGTATTTTCATGTATATTTCATAAGAATTTTTTGTATAGCACAGGACAGTAATCAAAATTAAGAAATTTAACATTAATACAATATTAATACCTAATCAACACTTCAGAATCCCAGAGGTCATATTCATTTTTACACGTCATCCACCCCTTCCCTCCATCTAGCATCCAATCCAAGGTGATGTATTGCAGTCCTTTCTCTTATCTCTTTAGTCGTCTTTAATGAGCAATAGCTCCTCAGCTTTTCTTTGACTTTCATGACCTTGACATTTTTAAAGTTATACAGGCCAGTTGTTTTACAGAATGTCCCCCAGTTTGGGTTTGTCTAATGCTTTCTCATGATTACATTCAGGATGTGCATTTTTGCCAGAAATACCATAGAAGTGACGTGTCCTTCTCAGCACATCATCACAGGAGTCACAGGATGTTGGCTTGTTCCATTATTGGTGATGCTAACTCTGATCATTTGGTTAAGGTCCTATCACAACTTGACTTGCAACATGAATAAACACGTGGGCTGTGTTTGGGGAATCTTGAGCCTGATGAGTTCTGCCTGCCCAGAACACTCATGTTCTTCATAGTCAGCAGAATCCAGAATACGCTTTCCCAAGCTAGAGCACAAGCTCACCCATGTGAGACTGATTCACAAGTAGTGTCATGAGAGGAAGAAAACTGAGCAAAGGGTGCCTGGTGGCTGGAAAGGTGACAGCAGGAGCATTTGGGTTGTGGAGGGTGCAAGGTCCTGCAGAAAGTTGCAGCTGTGCACTGGAAAGCTGGATTCCTAGCTGCGGGGCTTGGTACCAGCAACAGCAGGCTTGTTCTCTTGTGTAGGTTTGCACATTGCTCCTGCCAGCTTAGCATTGAACTTGGTTCTCCCACCAATTCTGTGAACTCTCCAAAAAATATTTCTTCTATTAAAATACAATTTAGCCGTGGCCGGTGTGGTTCAGTTGGTTAGGCATTGGCCCGTGCACAAAAATGTTGCTGGTTCAATTCCTGGTCAGGACACATGCCCAGGTTGTGGGCTTGATCCCCAGGAGGGGGCATGCAGGGGGCAGCTGATCAATGTTTTGCTCTCACATCAATGTTTCTGTCTCTCTCTCCTTCTTACTTCCTCTCTCTCTAGAAAAAAAAAATCAATTAAAGCCCGGCAGGCATGGCTCAGTGGTTGAGCATCGACCTGTGGACCAGGAGGTCACGGTTTGATTCCCCATCAGGGCACATGCCTGGGTTGCAGGCTTGATCCCCAGTAGGGGGCGTGCAGGAGGCACCTGATCAATGATTCTCTCTCATTGATGTTTCTATTTCTCCCTCTCCCTTCCTATCTAAAATCAATTAAAAAAACATTAAAAATATATTTAAAGTTTAATTTACACATAGTAAAAAATACATATCGTAAGTGTACAGTTCAATGAGTTTTGACAATTGTATGTACACTTGTGTTATTTTCAACCAAATAAAGATACAGAAGATTTCTATTACCCCAGAAAGTTCCCCATGCCCCTGTACAGTTGCTATATACTAAATATATCCCTCCAAAATTCCTATGTTGAAATCTTAATCCCCAATGTGATGGTGTTAGGAATGGGGGGCCTTTGGCAGGTTTTTAGGTCATGAGTGTGGAGGTCTCATGCATGGGATTCATGCCCATATAAAAGAAACCCCTGAGAGCTCCCCTGCCTGGTTCACCATGTGAAGTTATATTGAGAAGACGGTCTGATAAAACCATTTGGAGATAGTTGTGATTCGGATGGACTACAGCTCCCTCTGCCCCCTGCTTGTGTGGGTATCTGAAGACTCCTGAAAGCCCTAGAGTCTCTTAAAAAGAGTGACCTTTTTGTTTCTCTCTCATGAAGAGAACTATAGTGACATTGATAGAGCTGGTCCTTGGCTCAATGGTGATTTCTCTGGTGATTAGGTGTTAATGTTGTCCATGAAAGATAATAGGGTGACATTCAATCCAAATGGGATGGAACCAGCAAGGAGTTACTGAAACCTAACACAGACGTGCCACAGACACTGTACCGAGGGGAATGGCAGAACTCCACCCCCATATCTACGATCTTGAGTGCTCTTGTATTAAAAATTCACATGCATAGTGTTATGAAAAGAACTGAGTATACAGCTAGCTGATGATAAGGTTAGTCACAAGTAACTCCTTAGGCACATAGAGTCTAAGTTTCATTACTTTTTTTTAAAGAATAGTCTCAAAGATAATAACCACTCGGTCATTATTTATTCACTATAATACCAATTTGCTATGTAACCTAATAATTGTTGAACTTAATGCTTATGAGATAGGTTTTGCTAAGTTTATTCTAATACTTTTTTTTTTAACAAGAAATCACAGATTAAAAGCAAACTGCAAAAAGAAAGTAAGCTTACACAAATTTTAAAAAATTCAAAGTGATTGATATATTCCTCAGTTTTCCTTTAGGCAAATATGAATTTCTCTCTCTGCTTTTAATGCTGCAAATCCCCAGTGTACTGACAGACTGACCCAGGAGTCCCTGCCTTTGTGGACCCTGGCCTTGGGAAAGCTGTCTGATTTTTCTGGGTACCTTTCCTATGTTTCATAACTCATGGCATTTTGTGGGCTCCAGAAGTAATGCTTGTTTCCACCAAAAATTCACCAGCTCTTCAATATGGAACTTAGGGTCATCTAAAAGTCAAAACAAAAAACATTTCTGCAAATATTGTTGATAACTATTTCCACAGAATAATTCTGAGAAGACACTCTTTTTTTGTTTTGTTAATCCTCACCTGAGGATATTTTTTCCATTTTCATTCATTTTTAGAGAAAGTGGAAGAGAGGAAAGGGAAGGGGAGGAGAGAGAGAAACATCGATGTGAGAGAGATACATCAATTGGTTGCCTCCTGCACTCGTCCCGACCAGGCCGGGGGTCAAACCTACAACCCAGGTACTTGTCCGTGACCGGGAATCAAATCCATGACCCTTCAGTGTGAGGGTCACCGTTCTAACCACACTGGCCAGGGCTGAGCAGAATATTCTTAAGTTCCTTTATTCGGTATAAAGGTAAGGCTTCGACATGGTAGAAGTAGAATAACACCATGTTAATATTATCTACAGGTCATGGAGACTGGCCTAGTTAGTGACACTAGATATTTGATAACATATAATACATAAATGTATAAAATACATTATGAACATTTGTATTCAATAAAATGATAGCCCAATAACAAATGACATTTTATTATTCAAATGATCTTACAATGTCAACACCAATGATAATAAAAATATATAAGATGTTGAATTCATCAATGGCAAAATCGGTTGTCATTCACTTGAAGGCTCCCGCATTTCAAAGTAAGCATTTCCCAGAGAAATGCAAATCCTCTCTTCGGTAGAATTTTCACCTTTACCTGTTAAAGTCTGGGCAAGGCAAAGGCATCCGTCAGCAGAGCACAGAAGGCAGAGATAGGGCAGCGAGGTCACGGGACCCATCACTGTGCTATGAGCACGTCTCATTCCTGCGGGATGGAAAGTTCTGGGTTTCCACCTGCTTCGTGATTTAGCCATTGAAATAAAAGCATAATTCACATCTAGACAGATGTAAGAGGCTTCAATTTCCATTCAAAGTTGATGATTTTCCCTTTTCATACTATTTACAATATAAATAAAATTCTTTCTGTCTACTAAAGTTTTTAAAGGTTGAGATTGGGTTCTTTCCATATTGAATGGTAAGGGAAGCTGCTTTGCTCTATTTCTAGGCTATTAGAAACAAATAAATTTAAGCTCAGTGGATTAGTACAGGGCTGGTAACATGGTGACCCTTTAAAAGCAAAGACAATGAAAAGGATTTTTTTTCAAAAAATATTTTAACAAATAAGGGTTTGCTTTGTATATACACGCCATGGTTAAAGACAAAAATTTGGATTCCTTGTTATATTCAGGAAATGGGTATTTCATTAATTAGCCCTATGTGTGTGGGGGGGGAGCACTCATTACTTTTCAGTTTAAGTAAAACTCTAACTTCCTGAGAACTTTCTAAGTAGGTAAAATACTGGCGGAGATACTTAGTTTTCTTACCAGGAATGGTAAGAAAAGTATACCTTGTCCATTCATGAGAAAATGACGTAGATTATCAGTCAATAACCTAGTGACACATCTGTTTAAGCAGATGTTTTTATTTGAGAGAAGCGTAAACATGAGTCTAAATTTACAAACATGTTGATAATTCGTCGTCGCCTGGGAGGTTGAGCCAAAGTTTACGCAGATTAGAAGAAAGCCTGAGCCTGGGAAAATTCAGAGTATTACCTAAAAGCAGATAAAGTGACACAGTGAAGTCAGCGGGCAGCTGCTGTAATGGCTGTGTACAGGCCCTGCTGCTTCGCCGCCGCTCACATGCAGGTGACCTGAGGGACGCCGTCCTCCTGATCAAGCTGCGCGTCGTCCAGGCCCCGCAGGGCGCTGCTGCAGGGGGCTGGGCTCCCCTCCGCCCAGCACTCCCGAGAAGGAGCCGCGAGGCCCTCCCCAGGCGGCCTTCTGGTCTCCGGGGCTTGCGAGGCGGCCGTGTCCAGCCCGACGCTGCTGCTGGTGAGTCTGCTCCTGTCCTCGCCTTTGGCGGGCCGGCCGGCCTTCCTCTGAAACAGGGGCGGCAAGCAGGGGTTAGAGAGACGGCGCGGTCCTGTCCCTCTGATCCAGCGCTCGCTGCCCTGAATGTCCCCCCCGCCTTCTCTCCAAGGCCCTGCTCATCTCAAGCGCCAGCTTCACGTCCCCCGGCCCCCGGGGGAAATGAGCCCCCCTCTCTGTTTCACAGCCCTTTGCAGCTTCCTGGCATGTTATTCTGGTCATTGGCACGTTGGGTGTATACATGGCTGGGCCCTCAATGGCAACTGGGAGGAGAACTCTGTTGAGATCACACTCTGGGGAACAAAGCGGGGTAGAAATACATTAAAGGTTCCATTTTTCTTCTTGGTGTTAATTGGATCTAAGGACAGAAAAACTGTTCTAGTGGCCACCTTACACCCATTTCACTTAGAATGGGCTGCACAGAAGAGTCATCGGTGGTTCAGACTGAGCGGCACAGTGCAGAGTATTTCCTGAGGGCCGGCAGTGATCGCCGAGCAGCCCAGAACAGAGAGGTCTCGGCCAAGGAGACGTAAGTCGGAAGACGTGAGTCTCAGACAGTGAGAGGGAAGCTCGGAGAGAGCAGTAGCAGCTCAGCGTGTGGCTGTTCAGACTCCCGAGGAGATTTCCACCAAGGGCTCCCTTAATACTGATAACATGACATGGATTAGAATACGGTCCTATACTCTTAGAAACGAAAAAATGAAACAAGGGGAAATTAAAAAAAAAATAAAGATAAAATTTAAAAAGATAAATAAAAGGGATAAATTTTAAAAATGTTTTATTTTTTCTTCTTTTTTTTAGAGAGAGAGGAAGGGAGAAGGGGAGAGAGACACACCACTGATCGGCTGCCTCCCGTATGTGCCCGGATCGGGGACTGACCCCACAGCCTGGGGATGTGCCCCGACTGGGAATGTGCACAGGGCGACGCTCCAGCCAGCTGAGCCACACAGGCCACGGAAAAGGCATAAATTTAAAAAGCACCATCATTTCCCAGTTTACAAAGAGTTTATTTGCTGAAAGTTTATTTATATGTTATTTGGGAACTAGGATTACATTTTCTTAAATGTAAGAGCTAAAATTATAAAATTCTTAGGAAAAAACCCATAGAAGTCAGATGCCCAGGCTAGTCTTACAAGTTTGCTAACCCATAGGTTTGTTGAACTGTAGTGTATAAAATACAAAAGTATCTCTACTGGCTTTCAAGGCAAATATATAAAGCAAACAGCTTTATTAAAGTGGACTCTGGGCTCCTGGGGAATGTAAACGCCGTTTATGATGTGGTTTGTGCAGGAAGACGCAGCCCTGAGCATGCTGCCTGCTAAGGAGTGTTCCTGGAGTCCTTGGGCCAGTTTCAGGAACAAGTCTACAGTGGTCCCGAATCAGACAGCTCAGTGGTGGTGGCATTTTCCTGTTTTTTTTGTGTTTTTTTAAAATCCTCACCTGAGGCTATTTTTTCCATCACTTTTCAGAGAGAGTGGGAGGGAGAGAGAGAAAGATCAGTGTGAGAGAGAGACACATTGATTGGTTGCCTCCCACACAAGCCCCGACCAGGGCCTGCAACCAAGGTATGTGTCCTCGGCTGGAATCGAACCCAGGACCCTTCAGTCTGTGGGCCGACACTCTAACCACTGAGCCATACTGGCCAGGGCCAGTGATGACATTGTCACCGGCCCCCGTGCATTCATCAAATACAAAGAGCACATCGCAAAGCCTCTTCTTTGTTATTCTCATTCACAAAGTGTATTGGATTTACTACGAGGAGTGGAACCTGACAGATTTCCTCTAAAAGGATGTAGGATCTGAGAATGGCGTGTTCTCCTGGCATTGGGACGCTGGCCAGTGAGGATCCAGCCTTTTGGCCGCAGGCAGCTGGGGTGGGTACTGCCAGACGGGGGGCTTCTCAAGCCTGGCTGCTGGCTCCCGTTCCCACGTGCATAAAGAGCTCATTCTCCCTGGAATGGCCTCTCGGCGCTGAATGCACAAAAATGGGAGGAGGGCTGGGTGCCCGCGAGCACTGGCTGCCTGGGTCTCTCCTCCCTCATCAGCACCAGAGTTAAAGGTACATTTTGCAATAAATTCCTTTTTGTATACCAGCCAACGGGGGCCGCCTCTCACATAGTGAGAAGTTTCTTAGTAAAAATTGGGTATTATTCAGAATAATAAGATATTCATAGTAATTCACCTTTAGATGAGTATTAAGCAGCCACCAAATGTAAATGTCAAGTATTAGAAGATGAGAGATACCTCACACGTGAACTCTAAAAGTGACTTCAGAACACTTTTCTTTTTTACCAATGTGACTCTTAATAAAAGCGCCTTCAGGAATAATGCTCTCCCTACACCACCCTCACTCCACATGAAATAATAGCTTTTCCAATACATCAAGTTGCAGTATTTTTATAACTTAGAGTGTAGAAGTCTGAAGCTCGGCCAGTCTTTGGAGATCATTTCCTTGAACCACTCTTTCTCCAGAGGCAGGACCCCGGCCCAGAAAGAAGCTGGGCCTTGTCCAAGGTCAGGGGCAAGGCCGGCCTTGGACCGGAGTCTGAGTGTCTAACCTTACTCTTTTCACACTGATATTACCACATCTGCAAACAATATGAGCACATTTGTGGTCAAAGATTGTGTGTTCCCAGATAAAAATTCCTGTGTATTTTTACAAAATACATATTCAGTGTAGAAAACTTGGCAAAAACAGAGAAAAAAGCAAAACCCACCCACAATCCCATCTTTCATATATTTTACTGTTTTCTTCTCTAAATAACTATGTATTTGCATATGCACACATAGATGTGTACAGCTCACTTTTCCACTTAGCAGTATATTTTGAATATTTCTTCATGTCCACAGAGATTTTCCATGCTACATTGCCAGGCTTAGTCATATATTTTCTTACTTTCATTTGATATTTCACTATAAACTTGGGGGAAATTATACCAGAATTTAGATGCAGATCTAATGCCAGCCTTGACAAAATATATTAACTTTTGAGAATCATTCTCATTTACTAAAAATGAGTGACCCATTTCAAATACATGAGACTCAGTGACGTCAGTTGAATTTAGGATGGTCTACTGTTCTATCGCTTTTCGCTGTCAGTGTCTTCAAGACGAAAGCAAAAGAACAAAATCAGAATTACACCACCAACTATAAGACATTGCGGTGTCTTGGACAGTGTTATGATGTACAGAGAGAAAGAGTAGCTAAAAATATATAGTTTATAAAGCAATAGAAACATGGTGTAGATGTTCAGGATTCCCTGTTTGTCTCCGGCTTGGGGGGGGAGTAGGAAACCTAAGTGCAGCTCTAGTACCAACGTAAGCTAGAGGCTTTTAAACACGTAGAGGCACAGCGCTCCCGTGTGCGGGCAGAATGTCCTCCTGGGTCCTCGCAGGCGGGGGATGCCGGGATCATGCCACCTGGGAGCCGGAGGGTGTGGACAGTGCAGCCAGCTTTCTTATCGACTGTGTTCGCTGCTGCACTGTGGGCACGTGGCCCCGTCAGGTCCCATCGGAGTCCTTCCCGGGACGCTCTCCCGGCCAGAGGGTAAAGAAGTGCCCGCTTTTGATGGGGCCACGCTCACCGCATGAGGCCCTCTGCACACACACAAACACTGAAACATGAGAGGGAGCCCCCCGGAGATGGTGAACTGCTGGTGTTGGTGCTGAGGCCTTGGCTCTTGTAGCCCTTTTTTTGATGTTTGAGCTATGCCAGCATCCATCCTACCCAGAAGCCAACAAATCCCCTTATGCACACAGGCTAATCTGAGCAGGGCTCTGTCCCTTCCACCCTGATGGGCACCAACGTGTAACACAGAAACAGCGTGGGTGGCCCGGAAGGGCTGCTGCCCGCCTGAGCCTTGCCCTACGGCAGCACTGGCCACTCGCCGTCTGCCCACACCAGGAAAAGGCTGAGTGGCTTTGAGTGGACAGCATTCCCTAGATGAAGACCTTCATTAATGATAAAAGCAAAATGCCTTCCTTTTTTTTTCTCCCCCCCCCACTGTACAGTGAATTTGTACATCTTTATTACTACCTTGGAAACATCTTCAAGACATGGCGTTGAGTGAAAGGGTTATTTGAGCGAGGTCTGTTTATGCAGACTCAAGACTCAAGTCAGTGCTGTGCCCAGCGACAGGTTCTTCTCTGGTGACTGCTCTTCTGGTGCAGGAGAGGGAGGCAACTTTATAAAGGGAAATGTATGTCACCTTACTAATGGAAATGCATGCCCTGCTTTTTGTCAGAAAGGAGGGCGGCTGAGTGTTCCTCCTGCCTGCTGTTTCTTAACTGCCTTCAGCTCAAAATAATCCTTATGCCAAAGTGGCATATTCTGAGGCGGCACATCCTGGTCCCCTTCAGAACTGTGTCAGTGGCCTAGTTTTCCTCGTTATGTGTTGGTTAAGAAGACTATTTCCACATCAGAACACACTGCCCCACCTGTATCCACCATTTAGGATTACAACGAGAGTTTCAGGATTAAATGCTTCAATACGACATTCAGCTCATAAAGCATCAAAATTACTCACTTCTGGTGTCTGAGCCACTGAATTCCATATAACTGGTCTCTGAAGAAACACAACCTGCTTTGTAGCCAAATTCCCTTCACTGCAAATTAAAACAACAGCATTAGTATTTGTGAATTAGTAATTCTCTGTATTTCACACTTGGCTAGAATGTTCCTTTGTAAAATAATCTCCTGGTCCAAAAATAATTAAGAAATAATTTATATAAGTTGCAGCTGGAAAAACAAGGGGAAAAAAGTCCCTAAAAACTGAATGTGGTCATTACAAAGGAAAGGTTAATGTTTAAAGCTTGCAACGTCACTATGCTAACATAACTATTTTCATCTCTGTCCCCTTTTAGTCTTTATCAGCATAATGTATTTCTGCATGTCTGCAACCATTGCATATGTGCATTCTGCGTTCTGTGCATTTCCGTGTTCTGTGCTTTTCTCGTAACACCCTTTTCTTGTTTGTACGCTGTGATCATATCCTTAATAGCTGCATAGTATCTCAAAGACTTAAGATAGCAAAATGTACTGTGTTTTTTTGTTATTGAAATGTGAGGTTGTTTCCAGTTTCTGCTAATTATAAATAATGCTGCTATAGAAATATGTCTACTCTTCCTATTCTTATGACTCAAGGAAATCTTGAGGTAGATTCTTAGGAATGGGATTATTAAGTCAAAAGTGTATGATTTAAACTTTTTGTTTGCATTGTCAAATTTGCCTTTTAAAAAGAAGAGACCAATTTGGGCGTGAGAAATTTTATGTCGATTTTCAGTTGAGGGACTTGAGCCACAGCTAGTTTTCTTTTCAGATGCTCCTTTGTAGGCAGCTACTCAGTATTCTCCTCATTTAACTACCATCACGGCCAATTTCCCTTTGCCAAAGACTACTTGGGGTCTAGGTTTCTCTGAAGTGTTTTCAGAGTCTCTGTGGATTTACGGAAGGAGTCTGTAGCTAATGTTGCTCAGTTACGACTTTTATTATGCAAAAACCCCAAACAAAACCTCACTATTAGCTGCGTTTTATGCTGAGCTCTTTTTCTGGAAAACAAATGCAACACTGAAACCCTGGCCCTCAGAGGTATATGTCAACCTCACACCATTTGAGAGCCCAAACTTAATGACACTGTTGAATTTTGAGAAACAAGCAAATCTTCCCCCAAAGTGGTCATGGGAGACTGATTCTTCTCCCCTTTTTTAAAAAAAATCCTCACCCAAGGAGTGAGGATATTTTTTCCATAGATTTTTAGAGAGAGTGGAAGGGGGGGGAGGAAAGAGAGAGGAGAGACAGGATGTGAGAGAAACACATGGATTGGTTGTCACCCCCACACTCCCACCCCAACAGGGGGCCGGGATAGAACCTGCAGGCCAGGTATGTGCCCTTGACCGGGAACTGAACCCGAGACCCTCCGGTGTGGGCGTGCAGGCCTGTGCTCGAGCACACCAGCCACGGTGAGATTGCTGCTTTTTAATTTTTATTTTTAAAAGACTGTTTCTAGTCTAATCTCATTTTAGTTTGATCTTGGAAGAAAAGACTTGGCATGAAAAATATCAAGTTGTTTTAGGAACAACTTAAGTCATCAGGAGACCTCAGGTAGGACGCAGGTGTACAGGGAAGGGACTAGCAGTGCACAGAACGGCCCGGTCTGTGTCCGGGAGGCCCGGGGTACTGGAAAAGGAACCAGAAGTGGCTTTGGAACCAGAAGTTCCTGGGTTCAAATCCTGATTCTATCATAGCACTTAATAGCTTATGACTTTAGCAAAGTCCTTAAATTCTCTGACTTTCCTTTCCTATCAGGGACCTGGTGAAGAAGAGAATAAATAAGTCCATGTCCATGGAAGACAGAGAGAGAGAGAGAGACACTGGCCTGTTCCGCTCATTTATGCATTCGTGGGTCTACTCTTGAATGTGCCCCGGCCAGGGCTGTACTCACTTTTCCTCGAATATATCCTGCACCTTCCCGACTGCTTTTTGCTTAAGGTTGCCAGAGAGGGGAAATAATCTGCAGTGTTTATACTTCCACTTTCCACCTTCTGTGTGCAGAGCAGACATCGCCGACTGACCACCACATCTTGCTCTGCTGAGCCTGGTCCTGTCTCCGAGGCCTTCATTTTAGGGTGGCCCAGGCCACTGTACACAGAGCCGTGCTGCTACGTGAGATGAAGACTGCTCCTGGCCCACCTTGTCTGCCACCAGGAGCATTCTCCTCTCTAAAGCTGCTTTTAGAAGCTCTGTTCTTTTATAACAAGACGTCACATCCTTCAAGACCCGCTCTCCTCCTCACCCATGGCCTCTACCACATTCTCCTGCCTGACACTCAGCTCTGCTGTCATCACTGCTGCCTCCAGGAGCCTTTTTAGATCTCCCCCTCCTCCCTCTCCCCTCCCCCTTAAATGTTAATACCTAAGATGTGCTGTGTATCTGTTTATGTACTGTGACCGTTTGGAGGACCACAAACCATTGTTCTATCTAAGATTTTTCTCACCCCACCATAAATATTTTCACCCCTATTGAGAGCACATGCTCTGGACTCCACTGCAGGACTCACGATCTGTTCTGCATTAGTGATTTGTGACTGTTTTCTCTCCGAGCAGATTGTGAGTTCCTGCAAGCCAGAGTCTGTCCCTAGAGTGGTAAGATATTGCTTGTATACACCAGGCACTCAAAAAAATATTTGAGTTGAAGTGAAAAAACATTCTGTTTAAAATAAAATGCAAGAGTGTGAATCAGGCTGGATACAGCTGAGCTGGCTTCAAATGAGTGGCTGATTAGCCACTGCTTTGCCACGTGGGAAATACAAATACTCATAAAAAACTTTCCGTTACAGTTTCAAAATCCATTAGATTAGAGGGAACAGTTAATTTTTATCTATTGATTAGTCTTATATCATCTTGTACATTAATGAATTGCCATGGTTTAATGATTGCAACTCGGAAATAAGATATGAAATAAAAATTAACTTTTTAAAAGCAAAATTATAAAGTTAAATTTTATCTTGCACCTTTATAGCTAGCTATGTGTTTAATCATAAAGTTCCTTTGCCGTATCACCCAGTTTGTCTCTCAGGTATTAGCATGTGTGTGTGTGAAAGACACAAAAGGGCCTCTACCACCACAATTAAGCTCCTCCTAACCCCTCCCCCCTGACAAAATGTTAAAAATTTAAGGTCAGATGAGGAAGAGTGGTTACTGGAAGTGTGTATGACAGACAAAGGGGCTATTTTGAAAAACGTAGCCTTATCGAAATGCTGCAAGATTACTCTGAGTTTAGGTCACGGCGGAATTACACAACACTGCTTGCTCAGAAGGTAAATCAGAAAGGGGAGAGGAGAGCACCAACAGGGCCAAGCATGAAACCCGGCCCCTCCCCCGCTGTACACATGTGCAGCTCCAGGATTTAGAGGAAGTGTCTCAAATAGCTACAGACTTCTGCCGGTTCTGGGCTGTGGGGACGCAAGGCTGGGAGCCTTTTTTGTTGGGGAGTGGGGGCCGACATCACAGCGAGAAGACAACTTTCTCTTTTTGTTATGTGTACCTTGTCCTTCTGGACCAGAATTTTATATTCTCAGTGAAAGTATATCACCTGATTCTAACATTCTTTCTCTCTCTTTTTTTCTTTTAAATATATCTTTATTGATTTCAGAGAGAGGGAGAGGGAGAGATCCAAGTTAGGCTTAGGTAATAGGAGGAAAAAGTGCACGCTGTTTAAGACTATTGTACACAAGACAAGAATACTTAAGGATGAACATGTCACGGGTGGTGGATCTGAGCTATGTTTCAGACGCGTGGGCTCCAAAAGCAAGCATGACAGCTACGCGTTTTGTGGGTGTCAGCATACGTGTGCGCATATATCTTTAAAGGGTCATTATTTATTGCTTCTTCCTTTACTGGCTTGGACTCCTCAGTGCTGATTTTGTACGGAGTGAACTATGCTATTTACATTTTCTGAAATATCATGATTTAGGACTGGCCGAGGTATTATCCTTGCCCAGTCGGTTTCAGCTTTTTAGGGATTTTGGTTCTGCTAAAGAATTAGGTCTCATAGACTAGCCCTAATTGATTAGCCTGGGATGCATAGGCCCTGCATAGGTACTTTGCATATGTTATCTCACTCGCTATGGAACCAATCCAGGAAAGTTGATATTATATTACTGTACTGTTTTCCTGATGAGGAAACGGAAACCTAAAGAGGTTGGGTGACTTCCCAAGTCATACAGCTAGTTAATGGTGAAACTGTAATTAAAATGAGAATCATTTAGCCCTGGCTGGAGAGCTCAGTTGGACAGAGTCATCCCAGTAAGCCAAGGTTGTGGGTTTGATCCCTAGTAAGGGCGCGCACACACACACACACACACACACACACACACACACACACACACACGAGATTCATTTAGCTCAAAGCCAGGGCTATTCTTCTAGTTTCAGAGACTACAGTCTTTCAGGCTCTATTGTCCACCTGGACCAAGATGAACTGTATGTAATATTTTTCTTTATATAAAGACATGGCGGACGGTCAGCGTTGTCTTTGTGTGCACCGAAGACTGTCACAGGGACAGCGTATTTGAACAAGAATCAACAGGCAGAGGACAAGCAGGTTTTGTCAACAGCCTTTGTTACCAGGTCACAGTGAACCTTTACCTTCATCCTATATTGTCTACCTTGCAGGCACTTACAAAATGTAAAGGAACGAAGGAGGCATCAATGTTGCAAAATGTTCCTGGCACACCAGAGAACAGTTGACACTGGGTGCTCTACGTACTGTGTTGCCTAAGGGCAACTACTGTTAAAATACATTTTTCTATTACCTTCTATCCAGGGTCAACAGCAGATTCCTAACTGGTGTTCTGCTAAAGGGCAATATTGCCTTTTAATCTCATCACTATTTGAGGATTACATTTAACTTTGACAGTCTCTCCTCTCTCTTATTTTTAATACACCTATGGAACCTATAAAGTACTTCATAGCCCTTGATTAGTGACTCTATTGTACTACACAATACATAAAATTGAACTGTCCCAACCCGAATGCAAGCCCCTGGTTCTGTACTGAATGTGAGCTTAACCAGCCACAAGCTCCTTCAGGGCAGACACTATATATAGCTTCCACATCGTTTCATTATTTGTATCTTTGCCTTTTAAAACTGTTGTGTTTTTAAAAAAATCACAGAATAAACATGTATTCCTTGTAAAAAGTCAAATCTTAGAAAACATATAAAGACCAAGCAGAAACCCCTTTTCCCTTTCCCCTACCCATAATCCCAAGAGCTAGCCACTTGTATCCGTTCAGAATTTTGCTAGATACATTCACAATGTATAAACTTAAAAAATTGGGATTGCACTACATCCTGTCCTGAAATCTTTTTTTTTTTTAACTCAACAATTATCAACAGAGAATTCTATGACAATACATGTATAGATCTATGTTCTCATTTTTTAAGTCAGCTTGATATTATTCTATTGTATGGATAGTCCATAATTTATTTAACCAGTTTTTTTTGACAGACATTTATATCACGTCCAATGTCTCACTGTTACAATCAGTAGTTTAATGAGAAGTCCCTCTCTCACTAGCCCCTTTGCTACTTTAATTACACATGAGGATGGGCCTCCACGGGGAGGGCCCATGACCCCACAGTGCCCTGGTGGGCACCAGGGGTACAGGAGAAGCTGGAGTGCTGGTGAGGCAGTGGGGCAACCTCTGCTCCAAAACCAGTACACAGCCCCTCCTCATTCGAGTGGGCTCCCTTGTCCCTGGGGACGGCCTGTGACCTTAGGCAGTTTGTCACGCAGGACCAGGCCCCTCCACCCTCCCCTTCACATAGTTGAGGCCTCTTCTTTCCCGCCTTTGGTCTCAGTCCTGTCCTCACGCCCAGACCTGAAGGCACTTTGGCCGGGGTTCATGGCTCAGCGTCTAGCCTGCTGGGCTCTCTAATCTAGTGCCCGGCAGTCACTCATACCCCTTCAGGAATTGTCTAGACCCATGAGAGCAGAGGCCCCGAGTGAATGCCAGGGAGGAATAACTATGAAAGGCTGAGAACTCAGAGTACTTTCAGGAAAGATTAACTGTAATGGGCCAAACGATACTCTAAATTATATACTGAGGAGAGCCACCAAAAACAGGTGCAAAGGCCAAACGCACAGGCTGCTCCGAGGAAGGCGGGGAGTGGGATAGCCCAGTGGCTGGCAGGTGTAAGGAGATGGGTAGGAGCAGGACAGGGCAGGGGAGTCCCTCTCTCACTACCCCTTGCAAGCCCCTCACGTGTTAAAGAGCCTCAGGAGCCTGTGAAACGCAGATCCAGGGGGCCGCCCCCAGAGCTCTGACTGGCCAGCGGGGGAGCGCTCCCAGGGGATTCACACTGCTTGCTGTGAAGACCGCACCCCGAGAGTTACCGCTGTACTGTGATCTGACAGGTATGTCACGGAGCTGCCGTTCACAGCCTGAGGAGTTCACAGTAGATCTCCGAGAAGAAAAGCGGATGAGTTGCTTTGCTTATTTCTAATCCCTCCTTTAAAGTTTGAACAAGTTTACTTTGTATCCACCTTCATCCCTCCCGCACCTGCAGAAGGCCTAGCTTTCTTATAAAGCCACGTCAATCAAATGGTTTTAGAGCTTGTGGGGCCCTTGGGATACTGGTAAGTTGCTGAGCCGGGGAAACCAGAGCAGGCAGGCGGGTAAATGAGACTGAGGAGTTGCCTTCCTCAGCGACGCAGGACAGCGTTAGAGCGCAGTTGATTCCGCTGAAGGGACAGCCCAGGCAGGTGGTGCCATGCCGTCCTCTGCAGGTCGTCACCGGCCCAGCAGGACAGCCCTGCCGTCAATCACTTTCTGGATGCCAACTAGGGCAGAGGGCACGACTCTGAGTCCGAGGGATAAGAAAGCACTTTATACACGTGGCCTCTCTCACGCTCTCAAAAAAAATAAAAGTACAACTGCATTTTTTCCTTCCCAGGAAAGGAAGTCGGGACACTTAGTAACAGGAGAAGAACCAGCATCTGAGTTAGAAGAGGGAGGCCTCGCAGTGGGCTGCCAGTGGGGTGCCGAGGCAGCCGAGCTGGGGGGCAGGCTCCGTGCCCCTGCTCGGGCTCTGCCCTCGTCAACGTCCGTGCCCTTGGGGAGGAGGCGGATAGCTCGTATGTACATGACACGAGGGGGTTAGATCTGCTGGTTTACAAGGTCCATGAAATCAGATCAGGAGGTCAGTGAAATGCTTTTTGCAGGAGTTCACGACACTGAATTAGCTAACGAATGAATAATGTTTCGGAATTAGAAGAGCGTTTGAAAGGAGACTGTGGCGTTACCTGTCGCGTCTCAGGATAGGCGTCGCCAACACGCTCGTCAGGAGCCACCCACACTCGGCCAGGGTGTGCAGCAGGGGCCCGTAGTCCGTCTTGACTTCACAGCCCTGCGTGAGGAACAAGAGCTCAGTCTTCCCGCAAGGATGACCAGCTGCGCAGGTGACTACAGCAAAGGCTGCGGGCTTCTGGTGAGGGGGGTTTGCAGTCTGTCGGGCACAGGTGCACTGGCGCCGCCTTCTTGGGCTGCATTTTCTGCTACCTGCTGCCTTCTAACCCCGAGCCAGGGCAGGAACACTGGGATCAGAGAGGACAGGGGTTTCCATCTGTCCTCCAAAGTGTGGGCTTTTCTTGGGTCTTGTTTCCTTGGTCTAATGGGGGAGGGGGATCTGCACGTTAGAGAAGCTCCCCAGGGGATTTGGATTCAAGCAGTTTGCAGACCACTTTTTCAGGAACACCTGTCTAGGGAGTGGGACCCGAGGACAAACGTGGGGAGTGCGAACCGGGGCGTGAAGGGTGAGAGGCGCTTAGAATCAGCTTTGATATTTTTTGAGCTTGAAACTGGAATCGATTTTTACTTGGAGCTTTACCTCCTCCCCCAAATCCTGTTCATTCCTCTTGATGGGATTTCTAGCTTCTTTGGAAAATGGTCTCTAACCCATGTAAGACCAGAAAGGCAAAAGTGTCCACGGAAGGGCCTGCCGTGAGGGCCTCGGACGCACAGCACAATCTACTGAATTCAGCCTGTCCGCCTCCAGTGGTGCCTCCGAGCTGAGGTGCACGTCGGCAGCGGCGCCATCGCCGCTTAGGGAGGACCATGCTGCGTGTGCGTACCTGGCCTGGTGAGAGGGGGCACCTTTTGGATGCTTTTGCCTTTGATAGTTCACAAGGTAGAAAGTCAGTCACATTAGTTGCTTGGAGATAAAATGCTAGTTATTGACTGAGATTTTTTTCACTTTCAACCGGCTGTCACGACACTGTGTAAAGAGAATCTCAGTGCCAAGGTCCTCAGTTTAGGATTAGAATGCCAGCCTTTGGGAATATACTGCTATTTATGTATAGATAGTTGTGCTGTCTTAGGACAAAGTTGGACTTGGGGGAATTCCATGTTCACAAATCTGAAAGACGTTCGTTCCTGCATCTGTGATGACATTCTGACCACGGCACAAATGAGCTGGAAGGAGACTTCACTGTGTCAGATGGTGAAGACCTCTAACACGTAAAACTAAACATAAAAATAAAGCTAAATTGTCAGAAAACTGCCGTTTACCTCGATAACAGTCCATTGTTCCACTACGATGGCATCATTTCCTTTTCTGCTGGAACCTAGAACTCCAGACCCTTCTTCATAGATAAAGAATCCTTCCAGAGATTTAGGCACATGGTCCCCTGCGAGGAAAAGGGTACAATTAAGAAGAGTTGTAAATACTAAGTATTTCTTAAGATCATCTCAGTCCTTAAATAACCCTTGTAGGAAGCAGAAAGGAAAACAGGTCCGTTAATGTACACTTGTTATGGATCAATCAGCAACATCCTACTCCTCTTCGAAGGTTATTTTTTTGCAGAGGTCAAGACTGTTTTATACTTCAGTGAATGAAAATCAAATTGTAAACACGAAAACTACAATAACAAAAACAAGGTAAAATAATACCATACACCGAGAGGCAATTTCCTAAGCCTAAAAAGCGTCTAGAAATAACTTCACCTTGAGTTTTGATTTCTGATCTACACGTAGTGTGCATGTTAATTATACCATTATGAGAAACAACATAAAAAATGTTAATCCTTGAAATTTACAGGTGTGAAATTAAAATTAATATGAGGTAAGATCACTTAAAAATTATAAACACAGAACAATTCTTTACTTCAATGATGCTTAAAAAAAAAAAGAATGGTAACAGGAAGATTCTAAACAGAAGTCATTGTGAAAAGAATTCCTGCTGGGAAGGAAAGGGGGGCGGCTTTCTGACATTTTCTTGAATAGCTGACAATAGCCATCTGGCCACAATGAACCTGACTTTATGGAAGTTCTTTTGTCTCCAATGTAGCAACAGGAGACACTTTCCCATGGTCAAACGTGGGTTAAACATTTTGGTTTTTATACGGCCCAATGTCACACCAAAGTTTCCCTGGGTGACAGTTAGCTAAGTAACGAAGGCCTACAAAGTCTTCAAATGCTCTACTAAACTTAAATACAAAAAAGGCAAAAATACTTCCAATATAAATTTTTAATTTTTATAAACAGGGAAAATTATTATCAGTTTTACACCACTTACAGTTAAGGCAAAATATTACCAAGAATTGACGTTGTTCAGAGTGGTTTCCAAGAACCAGTAAAGTTTAACTTACTAGTTGGAAGTGGTTTTCTAGTTACAGTATATGCCCCATTTCCTTTAAAAGTGCTTGACCATTGTCACACCAAGGTGACCAATCTGTTTCTGATTGTAAGTTCAGGGCATCACTAATCATCATTAAACACGTCTATGTCCTAAGCCCTTTTTTAGAATTGGGGTATGAGCTTTAAAAACAATTATATACTTTGATAACAATGTAGCTATAATCCATTTACTTTGGGATTACAGAATGTGAGAACCATAGGTTTTGTGGTTCTGCATATATTTTTTCTTGTTCTCAGTATTGGGGATCCCTAGAACTTACGAATTTCTTTTCGTTTGAAAGAAAGAAAGTGTGGTAGACTCGTACAGTGCAATACTAGGATAAAAAAGAAATCTTGCTGCTATGCAGCAACATGGATGCCTTTCAGAGATACCCTCTTCAGCAAAGGAAGCCAGGTATAAAAGAAAGAAAAGACCATGTACTTTAGACCTCATATGTGAGGTTCAAGAACAGGCAAAATTACTCTATGGTGGTGGAAGTCTGACTAATGCTTATCTCTGGGCGGGAGGATTTTGGCTGGGAGGGGTCATGAGGAGGTCCTCCTGGGATGCTGGGAATATTCTGTACCTTTTCTGTTTTTATCTTTGCATTTCTCTTCTTCCCTGGGTTCATTGAGGTATAATAGACATGATTTTTTTCGGCTTTATGGGCATATAATCGATGGATAAGGAAATGTTCTGTATCTTGACCAGCTGTACACATACAATAAACGCACTGTGTATATGTATGTTATACCTCCGTTATACTTTAGAGCTCCCCAGCACCCCTGGCTGGCTGGCTGGCTTAAGGCTCATGCCAGTCCCCAGAGCCAGAGCCGTAGAAGACTAACACTTCACAGGAGGGAGTATTTATATCTTTTGAGAAATTCCCCATAACAGACGTGCAGCTAGGGAGGGTGGCAGGGAAGGTCTCATGGAGAGTGACCATTTGGGTGTTCGGTGTGTTAAATCCTCCAGGCAATGTGGTGAGGTGATCATTCTGAACAATTACTTAATAACTGCCCCCGAGCTGAGTCACCTCTTAACGTTACATATCCCAGAGCTTCCCACCCAGTGTGCCTTGGCCCGTCAGTGTGCTGAGAACCCCGCACAGGTGTGCCAAGGCACAGGGCGCCCCCTCCTGCCCAGAGCCGCTTTCTCCACCTATACCGTGCCCTACAATATTACCATTTTCTTCTATGTGTGCAAAGTATAAAGTGTTGCAAAGCACTGGCATACTGCTGCTCAAAAGAAATTTTTTTAAAAAGCCAAATACCACCCATAGCAAAGGACAGTACACTTGTATGGATGAAGGAGGGCCTCCAGGCACAGTTTGAAGTGATTTGTGGCAATCATGAAGTTTCTTTAAAGTCTAACGTTGTATCTTAAAAACCCATGCAAACTTTGCATTCTTTTCAAATATGTTCCTATGATGTAAAGAAGCAATGTTCTCCCCTCTGCCCCCTTGAAGTAAGATTGACACTCTGGGAGGAGGTTTATCTGTGAATTTTGGACTCTGGCACGAGGCTGCATAGCCCCAGGGTACCTGACCCTGGTCTGAGAAGCACAAGCTTAAAGAATTCCCAGGGAATAGTTTACTTGTCTGGACATGCGATCCTACACATTCGTTTCAGCTAGATGTGACACTGACACTCCTGTAAATGTAAGGAAGGGTAATATTCCATTTTAGTTCTTTTGGTCCACGTGTCACTGTTGGCATTAAAAACTGCCGGGAGGTGGGCCCAGGACCACCTCTGAGAAGTGGAGGGCAAGCACATATGGGGATTCTCATTCTGTATTTCGTTCATGACACTCTGTCCCCAGAACGAATCTCAGCTTGCCCACTGCTCTCATCTCTACCGTCAGCTCCGTACAGATCATTGCCACAGCTCTTAACAGCTGCCCACGTCCACTCGTGTCCTCTGTGACCCATTTCCTAAAATGAGGCCAGGGAGGTTCTTTTTAAAATGCAGATCAGGTCACAACTCCTTTAAATTTTTAAACAATGACTTGGAATAAAAATCCTGAAAGGATAGCAAACTGCTTAAGAGCATACACTCCACCCGGGTGCCCCCCCCCCCAGTTGCGTGAACAGGGGCACATTATTTAATAGCTCTGTGCCTTAGTTTTGTCATCTGTAAAGGGGAATAATCGTACCTACCTCACAGCGTTGCTGTGGGGTTTAAGTGAGTTAGTAAACGTAAAGTGCTTAGAACAATGTTGGCGCGCAGTAAATCCAAACACGCTAACCCTTGTTGCACTGTTTGTGTAATAAGGCTGTGTGGAGGGGCTGCTGCTCACCGCTCCCACCTCGTCTGCAGCCATGCTCTCTCCAGCGACAGAGGCCTTCTCCTGGTTCCTCTTTCCTGCCCTAGAGCTTTTGTACCTTTGGGCCGATTCCTTGCCTAGAACTGCCTGCCTCTGCTCTCCCCGGCCTTCCAGTCTCAGCGGGGTTGTTCCCTTGTCAGACGAGACCTCCTGACCACCCCTCTACGTGGGTTCTTCCTGTTAGTCTCAGTACATTACCCTGCTGGGTAACATTACAACGCTTNAGGGGTTCTTCCTGTTAGTCTCAGTACATTACCCTGCTGGGTAACATTACAACGCTTTTCTCGAGATTTTGAAAGTCAGTATATTTGCTTTAATCCCTGTTACTGCTGATGCCGCATGGCCAGCTCGAGAGCAGGGAAGATGTCCGTTTTGTTCATTGTTGTAAACCCAGGGCCTGGCACATGCATGTATGTGAAGTGAGTAAATGCATGTTTCAGTGTCTTTACTCCGCTCCTCATTCTGACACGTCTCCTCCCAACTCTATACCAGCTTTTTTATAGAGGTGAAGAGGTTGAACTGAATATCAAGTGAAGTCTGAAGAGAATTCATAAGGAACTAGACTGTAGCCTTACTAAATACTAAATACTAAAGCTGGGAAGAGACTGTGCTCTGAGGATGATGGGGGCTGGCGAAGTGTGTATGTGCGCGAGCGTGTGTTGTACCAGTGGGCAAAGCTGCCCATCTCGGCCCATGTCAGCTCCCCTGAGTCTCTGTATGTTCTGGTGGGAACCTGTCTCAGTTTGGTTGGCTCTCCTGGGTCCACTTGGAGGTCTTATTCCACTGGGGAAGGCCCACGAGAGCGTGCGGTCACCCAGCTGAGGCCTGGCTTGGTGGAGGCCGGGATGCTGGAGGTCAGGTGCAGGAGCCCAGGCAGTGAGAGCCCTCAGGCTGCAAGGACACACGAGGGCCTAGGGCGCGCCTCCTGTGGGGCTTCTCCAGGCAGAAAAGGCTTTGGGGGTGGCTGGGAAAGGGCACCGAAGAGGAATTTCACAGCCTTACAACTTTCCACCATGACCCTGCCAAAGGAGGAAACGCTTAAAAATCTTTTCTTCCTTCTGTTTCTGTTTATTTTATAAAATGAGATCTGTGGAGAAATGTATTTAAGTTTGTGAGCAACGTCTGGTTTTGTGCTTCTATCCCTTGCGATGGCTGACTTCTGACACTGTTTTGGGAGAGGGTGGAAGCAAGACAAAGCAAAACGCATTGTCCCGGGAGCCTTTGCTGTCAGGCACCAGCGGGCCCAGAGCAAAGCGGCCGATTCAGCCCCGCTTCCTCTCGACTTGCCGCCCACAGTGGCACAGGCATTCGTCACAGTGTCCCCTCTGCAGCTCCCTGCAGGCTCCCAGGGAAGTCCCGAGGGACACGCCCAACGCCAGACCCCACAGACTGAGGTGGCTGCAGGGGCTCGGGCCACAGTGCAAAGCGTCTGGCAACACATTCCAGAGCCGCTGGAGAGCCTCCCCTGGGCGCTCTAAATGGCCTCTGAGGCTCTGAGAACAAAAGCCCCTCAGAGCCTCTAACTGGCAACTGCTGCGGCTAATTTTATTTTCATCGGGCAAATGCCTGAGACCGTGAAAAGAGTATTTTTTGTTTTTCCTTCAGCAGTTAGTCACAAACCAGAATCTGAAATGGCTCCAACTCAGGCTCTTTGGAGGGAAAATGAAGGGGGGGGGGGCATGAAGCATGAACCCACCTCCAAAGGGAAGATCCGGACTGAAAGCACTGTAACTGCACGTGGGGAGTGTTGGGAAAGAAAACGAACCGCAGGAAATGAGCTCTGAGGGTGGGCGGGGCTCTGTGGGAGTCACTTTGCATGTACTACATCTTATTACATTCTCACAATAAAGGAGGAGTATTTTTTAAATTTAAATTTATTTAAGTACAGTTGGTATACAATCTCATATGGATTATGTTAGTTTCGAGTGTACAATATAGTGATTTGACATTTTTATACCTTACAGTGTGATCACCCCACTAATTCTAGTGACTGTCTGTCACAGTGCACACTTGTCACAGTATTATCGACTATATTCCCCTTCACCTTTTTCACCCATCTCTCCACCCCCTCTCTTCTGGTCACCATGCCTTTTGTCTCTGTTTCTGTGAGTTAAAGTGGGACTATTTTTATCCCTGTTTGAGGAAACTGGGGCTCAATGAGCTCAACTGACTTCTTTAAATCACACAACTAATAAAGAGAACAGGATTTAAACACTGGTCTGTCTGACCTTAAAGCCCATGCTCTTCCGATCAGATCAACTTGGAAGAAGTTTCCAATAACCAAAAAATACTAAAAATTATTCCTTGAGCACCTGCTATGTGCCAAGCACTATGCAAGGTGCTGAACTTCTAGGTGTTCCCGTGGGCTCGACCCTTAATCCTGGCTGCAAGTCAGAAGGATCCACTGGAACGTGACTCTTGTTAACTTAAAATGTTCATCCAAAGTCTGGAGTTGCATTAGTGAAGGTATCACTAGACTGACTTAAAGATAATAAGGTATTTTGAGGTCTCATCTTACTCACTTTTCCATTCTTTTTTCTAACCTCGCTATTCCGGTTAGGGTCCCCAGCTATTCCGGTTTCCATGCCTCCGTCCTCCATGCTTCCAGCCTCCTTTCTCTTTCTTTTCTTTTAGCACTAATCTCTTTTTAAAAACACTTTGCCTAGAAAGTCATTTTTGGAAAATTTTGTTTGTTTGTTTTTGTGATATAGATGAATGATTACAGATTCCATTTTAACTAAAAGAGGAAGGCTGGAGACAGGTGAAAGATGGGGGGAAGCAGGAATAGATATGAGATCAACATCATTTTCTGAAGCAAAGATTATTTTTCTAAACAAAGTATAGTAAGAGTCAGGTAGGTAATGTCCAAAATGGGGATAGTGTAATAAATTTGGACAGTAATCCTCAAACGCCATTGTAAGCCTCCTGACTGGGTTGTTGTAGTATCATATTTGGAAAATCCTACTAGTCGATCACACAATGGTTTGTCTAGTCCTGACAATTACAATCCAACAGCAAACGTTACATTAGAATTCCACCACCCAGGATGGTTAAGCTTTTAAATTAAAGCTACATGGCTATTTAAGGATTGGAATGTGTTTCCTTAGAGATATGTAGTCCTTTTAGCCACTGAACTTGAGAGGAAAAACATTTCCACCAACCCTAACACAAGGTCAGTTCTTTTAGATATCAATATATCATAATTTGAAACTTACCTTTCGGCGTTTCCCAGCATAGAAAGGAATCAATTAAAGACAAGCCTTGCTTGTAATAGAACGTAGTCAACTCCAGCCAGTCGGCATCAAGCGTACTGATGACGGACCCTTTTCTTGTTACTTTTACTGACAGGACGCCCTCCTGGTACGTCCAGCAGCCTGATTCATCATCACACACATTGAAGACTATGTACAGCTTGTTATCTGAGGACAGGTATTCAGAACGGGGGAAAAAAAAGAGAAACTATAATTTCATTGACAAGATTCCTAAAATATTTTTTATTGATCACGAACTATTTCAAGCATGAGAGTGATAAACAAGCACAGAGAATAGAATTACCACTCAGCTTTATCAAATGTCAACATTGTGCCAAGTTTGCCTCAGACTTTTTCAAGGAATTGAGAAATGGATGTAGCTGAGGCTCACTCCGTAACCTCCTCTTATCCTGTTCTCCAGAAATAGCTACTGTAATGAATTTGGTGTCTAACACTCTCATGCAGGCTTTTATTCTTTCACTGTAGACTTATATACCCACGAATTATATACAATGTTTTGTAGTTTAAAAAACTTCTAAAAAGTGGTGTCATACTTACACATGTCAATCTATAAATTGATTTTCTTGTTCAATATTATGCTTTTGAAGCATAATTAATACTTTATAGATCTTATGCATTTAGTTTACATAGTATTCCAGTTTACTGTTCTCTGTGGATGGACATATACACTGCTTCCAAATGTCTGTTCCTGCAAATATTTGGACATTTAGACTCTAGAATACTTACTTAGACATGGAATTGCTGGGTCATATCTTACACTTTACTGTAAACTGGCAAATTCTTAATTTTGGGGGGGCCTATGGACCCACACCTGTGATTGTGTTTTAGAAAGTCTACCACCACTTGCCTTAAGACACAGGTATTTGGGTATGTGTGTTGTGTGCATTTTTCTGGGTTGAGTCTCATGGATTTCATCAGATTCTCTAAGAGGTCTTTGGTGTTGCTCCCCCCACCCCTCAGTGGTCCTAAGAGCACTGCCACAGAAGAGTTATTGAGAGGTAAACAAACCATTCAGAAAGTGGAATCTAAAGACTGATACTTAAATTAAGCGGGTGGCATGTTGGGTTTAGAACTTAAAGAACCAGAAACAGACGGCTGATCTAATCAAGGCAAGGATGGGACCCAGCCGTTCAAACGGGGCGGTGGGCGGAGGGGCCGAGCAGCAATCCAGCCGCGGCTCGGACCCTGGCCCACACGGACATTCCCAAATTTCACACGCTGCCGGAAAACCAGGGTGGAGGTTAGCCCGGGACCGGCGAAGAAAGGGGAGGGCGGTGTGGGCGAGGCCGGGCGAGGCGACGCGCTGGTTTTCTAAAGGAGCATTTCGTGCCGACCTGGGTCAGGGGGTCCTCGGGGTGTCCGGGGTGTGACGCACACCTCGGCCCGGCCCGGGAAGCCGCGGCCCCGTCTGAGCGGCGGCGGCAGCGGACTAACCGCAGCGCGGGCTCTGCCGGGCGCTCCGTGCACCCCCCGCTGCCGCTCGCAACCCCCCTTCCCCACAGAGGTCGGGGCGCTCCCGCCGTGCGGAAGCCGGGCACGGCCCTAACTCTAAGTTACACGCAGCTTTTTACTTCCTCTAGTAGCACTTTTTAAAGCGCTCCTGACGGTATCGGAAGACTTTGCAGGGCCCGGAAGCACGAGGAGAAAGCGCTCGGTTTCCCGAGGGAACTGCCCGTCGGCCGGAGCAGGGACACTGCTGCTCAGAGGTCTTCAGGGCGCGCGCCGCCGCCACCCCCATGCTGCACCCGGCGTCCCACTCCCACGGTCTGGTTGATGGTCACAGACACGAGTTGGCTTCAAGGGTGGAAACCACCCCCGGAAAGGGGAAAGCCCAACCCACGTCCTCGCGCACCGCTCGGGAACCGGCCTGAGCCAGAGGCGGGTCGGTACAGAGCGGCTTAGGGC